ACAGAGCTCTAGACCAACAATGATTCAGGAGACAACCTCACAGGTGGAAGTCAAGAAAGAAGGTGTTGCCACTGTAGATGTTGAGATGTCAGCACCAGCTTCCGAAGACGAGGAAGGAGACAGTGAGCCAGAGTCTGAACTTGACGAAAATTACTTCGCAGACTCTGAGAAGGTACATGCTCGAGAAATGGAGTTACTGAAGGCTAAGAAACCTGCACCACTGCTGGAGGACTCTGCCGTGGTCAACTTACTGGTCAGAATCCAGCTCTTAGGAATGATCGCTGATGGCCTTGTGCCCGACGGCATACATGCAATGCAGGAGGACAAGGATATCGAGATGCGTGATCGACCTACTGAAAGTCTTATCTCGCCCAACAACACGCCAGAGCCATCGCAAACTCTCACACTTGAGCACCCCAAGCCTCGTGGTCGGCCTTTGAAGGAGCCTCTTGTCAATCCTATCCCGACGCCTCCTATTGAAGATCTTCCCTTCTTAGAGAAACCGCTAGAACACATGGTCTTATTTGAGGAGCCAGATGAAGATGAGGTTCAGTCCGAGAAGATCACCACAATATTGCGTAACCAGTTCGAGAAGGAAGCATGGGACGAAAAGGAAGACCTCGAAGAGCTTTGTGAGTTCTATCGTCAGAAGTATCCGGAGTGGAAATATGAAATCGATAAGTATGAACGAGCGCGACGAGAGTTGGAAGCTACACCAGATCCAGGTTCACCAGGTGGCCAGTCTGCAGCTTCCATCCCACAGTCTGTGGAACGTCTCACTGGTAGAGCAGCACGTAATGCGACAGAGTTTGACATCGAAAAAGCAATTCTGATGTCTCAGCAATCTGCTCGAGAAGAGGAAGAGCGCCGCGAACGCGAAGCAGCTTCCAATGCCAAGCCGAATCCAGATACAGAAGCTATTGTCCCAGCTATGCTCAAACCTTCCGAGAGAGAGCCCCCTTGGCGCTTCCAAGACTCGAACACATTCGTCCCTACGAAACTCTCCGTCGAACTCATGCAATATATCCCACCGGAGGATGACTTCACGAACGAAGAGCAGGCTAGGTTCATCACAGCGTTCTGTCAGGCGCCGAAGAAGTGGGGCCTCATTGCTGAGCAAATTCCGGGAAGATCGTACCAAGAATGCATTGCTCACTATTACCTGACCAAGAACCAAGCCAATTACAAGGAGCACTGGCGGCGATCGCAACCGAAAAGAAAGCGAGGGCGTGCCGCTACGAAGCCAAGGTCGACTGCGTTGCTGTCCGATATGGCTCTCAATGAAGATCCTGATTCGACGCCTGCGCCAGTAACAGACAGTGGACGACCTAGACGTGCTGCGGCACCAACGTTCGGAGACGTGACCGACCCCGAGGCAGCAGCAATGCCGGCAGCCAAGAGGCTTGCAGTGGCGCCGACGGAGGCCGTTGAAGGTGCTATTGCACCAAAACCGAAGGGCAGAAAAGCCGGTACAGCAACAAAAGTGAGACGCACGAAAGCACAAATTCTCGCCGATAAGCAGGCTATGGCACTTCAAACCAACCCTGACGGGTCTCCTGTTAAGGTTGGTGCCGGTCGCGCACGAACACTTGCAGCTGCAAAAACCGATGTCAATGCGCCTCCAGTTGCCCTTAGACCTGGTGAGCTTGAACCTCAGCAGCTTGCCAACATACCAATCCCGGTGACTGTTGCACCAATGAGACAAAGGTCGCCGCAACTTCCAGTTGTCACAAGCTACTGGTCTGTACCGGAGGTGCAAAAATTCCGTCAACTTGTCGCATACTACGGCAGAGATTTTGGTAAGATAGCGGATTTTATGAAGACCAAAAGCCAGGCAATGATCAAGAACCACTATCAGCGAGAATGTGCGAAAGGAGATATCGAGCTAGAGCGTCTGGCTCAGATCGCGGAAGAAAAGGTGAGTCGAGGAGAACCGTTGGGGAGACTGCCATCACCTGTCGCGCCGCCGAAACGAAAGTACGACGCGACGCCATCAATGACACCGAGACCCCTCACCGCCAATGCTGAAGCAGCTCTTGAAGCTGACCGCGCGGTATTGCCAGCGAAGGCAACCCATGTTGAGGACTTCCCACCGAACACTCTTGTGCGTGATGCAAGTGGTAGTATCGTTGCGAAGCCTTCGCCACGCGAAGCACTTCTACAGAACAGCCCGCTGCATGTGCCTGTGCAGCCGAAAACCGAGGATCTGCCTCGAGAGCGCCCAATTCTTGCGCAGAAACCTATGCAGGGTCCCCAGCGAGGCTTGTTCACACACGATGAAGGCCTATTCCACCAGCGCAATCAACAGAGACACCAGTTCGGAAGCCATGACCACGTTCTCCATCATCATCCGCCGCACGTGGTCGATCTGCGTGGCGGTGACGTGCCACCAACACAACCTCGAGACTTAGTGGCACAGCCACGGGATGTAGCCATGCAAGGCCAAACAGGTCTATTATCACAATATCGTGGCTTCGAACCAGAACAAGCGCCAGCTATGAGGCAAATCCACAGCCGCAACGCCAGCCTTACGGGCCCGCCCGTTTCTGTCGCCGATCAGCAAGCTGCTGATTCGTTCGCCATACAGAATGAGAGGAGGCGGCTCATGGGCATAGCGTCAACACAATCTCCGAGACTTCAAGCGATGCAAGCCAGTGTCGCTCCACGTCCTGAATCATACCCTGCTTTCGCTGTGCATCAACATCAACATCAGCAGCAGCTACAGCCACACTTGCAACAACAGCCACCACCGCCAGCAGTCAAGCCAGACCCACCAAAACCTGCTCCTGCTAAGAGATCGAATGTCTTTGGCTTGCTTAACAACGATGACCCGCCGGAGCGTTCCGTCAAAAGATCATCGACCGATAGCACACATCGTAACGCGATACAAACGCCTCCACCACAGCCAGTCGCACCACAACCTCAGCACACTTTCCATCATCGTGCGCAGGAAGATCTGCTGGGACGCCCTGGGGTGTATGGTATCAAAGAACAACCGAGTCATCGCAATATTCAGGATCTGCGCTCCGCTTTCTCGAATAGTCCAGCTCCATCACACAGGCAGGACGCATGGCTAGACAAATTTGACCCCAGGCAAGTTACCATAGACCGGACGAGTAACCACTCTCCCTCGTACTCTGTGGTACCACCGGCGCCTACTCCAAGCTCAAAGCCTCAGCTACAGCACACCATAAGTGACGGGCTTAGGATGCTTGAGCCCAATGGTCCACGTCACGCCGATTTAGGCAAATCTCAGATCTCTTCACCTTCGCGGCAAATACCTAGCCCCGTACCGCAGTATAGGCCCGCATCCGCAGCACCGCAGCACAACCGTATGTCCTCGCTAAGTTATAGCCAGAACGCACTTCCAGGCCCTGACCGCCGGTCTCTTCAGCAACAGCCGCAGCAGCAGCATCACCAGCCACCTGTAAGTCATCCGCCATCTGCGAGCGCTACACCGATTCCCTCAATGCACCGTCGCGGAGAGCCGTCTGTGGACTATAATCAGAGAAGACTTACAATACAGGAGTGGCAAAAGACACATGGCAATATGGACCAACCAAGGGATCCGAGAGAGCTAGTAGAGCATCGACATCCTCGCGAAGATATCCTGCCTCGCGGACATGAGCAACAGCACAGATCAATTGCTCCTCCTCCCCCAACCACCATGCAAGAGCAACCACGAGGCGATCCTAGGGACATGTATCGTTCCGAGCCCGGCAGCCACCAAGTTCCGCCGCCACCATCTCGAGCGTCGCAATTCGACCCTCGGTTCGGAGGTGTGCCTCAACGAACCTACTCGCCCTTTGGAAATGACCCTCGCCTAGCGCATAACCAACATGCTCACCAGCACCACCATAGCATCTCTGCACAACAAGGTCCGCCACAGCAACACCAGCAGCCTCCTCAAGGACAAGGCGGCCAAGCTGGCATGCATCATCACCATCACCATCACGGCCCCGGTCAACATCAACAACCACAGTTGGTCATGCCACCACAACATCAAGGTTTAGCACCTCATGCACATCAGCCGCAAGCTATGCATCAAGGCCAGCCTGGGCCTCAATATCGAGAACAGCCGAGGGTTGGCCAGCCTCAACAGGGTCTTGCACCGCAATATGGACACTTCAGAGGATATAGTCAGGGTGGTGAGGATAGGAGATAGAGTCTCTTAGTAGCCGAGGATGACGATGGGCCACACACGCTCGATGATGAAACTGGCCTTAAAGGCGCTGGTAGTGCGGACGAGGATGACACTCCTGATGGTGAGATTGAATCGCAGGGTTTCAACCTTGACCCATCGCTGTTCGATTGGGAGGCTTCTGGAGGGTTTGGGCAAGGGGTAAGCGATTCTTTGTGATATCCAACCAGCGGCACGAGCATTGAGCGCTTTGTATAAATGGGCTCACGATATGTGCTGCAAGACAGATGCGGCAGGAGCCTCAATTATTCGTGTATTAGCATTGATAAATACCTTAGCCTGTGTACCATGAATTATAGTTTTTATACCAAGCCAACCGGCACGTCAATGATCCTCATGAACGCAGCAACATTCTGAGACTCGAAACCCGCAACTGTGAATCGTGTCAGTCCTACCTCTGTACCAACAGTGTCCCCATCGACTTTGCGCACTCAACCACCTAGCGAGGACCTCTAGCAGCGGAGTGAGGCGCGAGAAAGGCTGTCATGCAACATGGACGGTGCAGTTCCTCAATACTGCTGCATTTCACCACCGGAAAACCACACCGCCACATCAATGGAGCGCTTCTCACAATCACATCAGCACGGAGGTGCTTTTCTCATGCTACACGGATACATTGAATAGCCCTCAGCACTTACGCGGTACTGGACCCTTAACGAACCCTGCCAGTCCGGAAGCCGTCACAGTCACACCCCGTCGAGGCATATAATATCTACCACAGTTTACAAGCACTTGAAATCAGACCGATATAACCATATACCTCCAATATGTCTCTCACAAATCAATCACAGATCAATCAGACACTATGGCGGAGTGGTCTATCGCGCTGCCCCGCTAAAAGACTCTCTTGTCAACGAGTGAGTCACCTGCGTGCTAGGCAGTCTCTTCGGAGGCCTTGGTTCGAATCCAAGTGGTGTCGCTTTTCTTTTTGGAATCTTGAAAGGTGATAGGTGAGTCATACGAATGAGACTTGGTTGAGCAAGTTTGGTACTGCGATATTTTGGGTACGGTAGTGTGGAACAGGCAGCCGGGAAGGCAACAGGGTGCACGGACCCTTCAACGCAAGCTTGACGTTTGAGGCTGCGAGATAATGTGCCTCTAGTCATGCGTACTTCAGCTTCACAAGTGCTTCAGCTTCACTATGGTTGAACCTTCTTTCGAACATTGATTCTATGACCACCAGCATGCTCGCAAGGTCAGCTCGCACCCGAACAGCGCCTCACGCTCATCCTCGGGATAGCAGAGAATGTTCGGTACCACAGCACCACAGAGACTTCATAAGGGATGGGGATTTTCTGGTTCATTCTAGTGATCATGCCGGCGTACAGTATTAGACGGCGCAGAAGCGATCAAGGCCCACAAGGAAGGCAGATTATGACTTTTTGACGGTGGAGGCACGACCGCAGTAGCTACTACGGGCAGGCACGACTCCGTCGGATACCGTAGGAATGCACGAGCGTGATTGAGGAAGGCGCAATGCGAACAGGGAAAGTACGGCTGTGGTTAACGGAAAGTGCGACTCGAACATGTTCTGGAGGAAGGCAGGACTTTCACCAGAGAAGGAAGGCACGACCAGGCGGAGTACAGCGGGAATACATCATTTGCAGAATCTGAAGCCCAGGGAACACACGACCGCGCAGAGGCGGAAGGTGCGATACACACCGCAAGGAAGTCCGGACTGAACGGAACGGCAGGCACGACCCCCCCTCCAATGGCAGGTGCGATCCTGTAAGCACATAAGGGCAAGGACGACCACAATATCTCTCGAAGAAGGCACGACCGTCTTACGAATTCATGGTTCAAGACAGCCATAACCTGACCGGGTACTCACTAAAAGGCATGCCCGAACCCTATAGAAATGACCATTAGCGAGTAACAAAGGAGGTACAGGGTGTCGTGACGATGAAGAGGCAGGGCAAGGTCGTGGCAGCGGAAAGGTGCGACTTGACTCGCTAGGAGCGACTATGGGCGTTAAGGAGCTGCGACTGCCTATCTGCAGACTAGCGTTGATAGGAAAGACCAGTTGTGTCGGTCTGGAAAGTACGATTGACGACAAATATGAAGCGCCGCCGGTGGGAAGGAAAGCATGACCAAGAGGTCTTACAGCCCGAGGCACTTGCTCATCTCGAGATCTATGCAAGCTGATACCTCTGCCTAGTCAGCTCCAGATGTTACTCTAGCTCTGTGTGATAGTTCTCTGTGCATCCGATCATCGGTGGGACTTTCTATATTGCACAACCGAGCACTTTCGTCAGCAGCGAACGCTCCGACAGTCAGCCTTGGCTGACTAGCCATCCCAGCATCGTGCACATTAGCCAGAGTGCTAAACCCGCCACGACTAGAATATGCCAATCCTGCGTAGCAGGCATTCATTCTTCAGCGTGCCGAACGATTTCCTAACCTCCTTTCTGATGCACTCTCTTAATGATCTTCTTCCAGGTCTTCCTCATCTCTTTCTCGTCTTACCATTATTGCCTGAATCAGACTGTTGACAACCTCCCTCGTATTGACATGCTCACTAGCTCGGCCGTCAACATCGTAAGATCTCTCAGGCATTGAGATTGTCTCTGGGTCACCACTTTTGGCCTCCTCATCCCCTCCAATGGCGCCCACCGTACGCTGACTGATCACCTCTCCCGCCAAAAGCTTGGTCTATTGTTCGTGGTTTCGCTGATGTGACCCAGATAGCAACTGGTCCACATGGCCTGCTCAGAGCGAAGAACAGCCTGCAAGGGTTGCAACCGACACAGGACTCAAAACGATCGGACGTCCATTCACCCTGACCAATCCTCAGTCTGTTACGGATGCCCTCCTGCCTAGTGTTGATTACGATCTCTGAACTGCATCATCACCTTGGGAGGCCTGCTGACTTGCGAACAGCGACTTTTTCTGCTGCTAGAAGCGACTGATATGCCTTCCAAATAACTTGACAGCAAGCCATTGAATCGGGATCAGGAATTTATTCCTCCAACTCAACGTCATGGTCAGATAAGCGCCTCTCCAGATGGCATAGGCGAGGAACCCTTTCAGACCCTGCCCAGCTCCTTTTCTATCCGTATTGGGGCCTTGAAGCACAGCCTTGCTAGAACCAAGGAAAGTCATGACGCCCCGGTTGTGGTAGTTGAAGCCTTGGGACGACGCATATGATTCATGGTCGAACTTGCTGGTTGCAGATGAGTAGTGCTTGTTGAAGGCAGAAGAGAGGTATTGAGCTTGCTGGTTCGCAACCTGTGCCGTAGCGGGCAAAGGAGGAGTAAGGCCACCGATGTTGGCGCAGTCACCGATTGCAAACGCGTCTTGCATGATAGCATGTCCTGCATTTTCTGAACTTTTCTCTGACGATGCGCTTTCAGTCTGCAGCTGGATCCGGAAATGGTCATCGACTATGATCGAGCCAGTCTTGGGATTGCGCTGAATGATCCATTGTCTTGGATTGGATTGATCGATAGGTGAACCTTCAGTGACCTGTGCTGACTCAACGGGAAACCGACGGACGCGACTCAGTGCTTTGGCGACGAAAGGGTTGTTCATGAGGCCAGTCGACCAGACGCACATGCCACAACCAGTCTCACCATCTTCTGTTGTACGGAGGGTAAAAGCTCGACCTGCTGGGATCTGGTCCTGCCTCTGAGACGCGTCTTTCATGTTTGGTGGGCCCTTGCGTAGCTCTTCCACATGATGACTCGTTTTGATACTGATGTTGTGTCTCGCATATTGTTTTGATGCGTAATCGGCCAGGGCTGCATCGAACATGGGAAGGATCTTCGGAGCGACATCGTATAGGGTGATCTTGACGAATTTCATGAGTTGCGGGTGTATTCTGCTCATGTCCTGCTGTATCAGATCGCTCAGGTTGCCTGCAAATTCCATACCAGTAGGCCCAGCACCGACAACACAGAAGTGTAGAAGCTGGCTTTTGGTTTCGTCTGAGATGAATGGCATGTGACACAGCTCGAATAGCTCGAGCACCCTCTTGCGGATCTTCCGTGCGTCACCCACGTCTTTGAGAAAATATGCATTTTCCTTGACCCCAGGTGTATTGAATGTCTGACTATAGCTTCCCACAGTAACAATGAGCTTGTCGTACTTGACTGGGAAGACAGGCACGTGGTTTTCGAGGTGGACGCTCTTGTCAAGCTGTTTCTCTTCCTCCGGTATAAGCATATTCTCTTTCGCTGGGCCTTCTCGCGACTGAATTAAGGCATAGCTTTGCGCAGGATCGAGCACCGATGGCTCGACATCGACCGTCTTCGCAACGAAGTTGACATCGTCTGCCCAACCTTGTACGAACTCGATGTCCGAGTTTGCTCTCCTTACAGACTCGAGGATGTTTCGGAATTCGAGGGTGCCAACCGCGGTATCTGTGAGCAGAGGAGTGAAGACGAAATATGTCCGTGGGGATATCACCGTCACTTTGTACTTCTTTGCGTCAAGATTTCGTGCAACGACATAGCCTGATAAGCATAATTAGATGCGATGTCGATCCCAGTTCTCTGGGAGTAGCTCACCTGCCCATCCTGAACCAAGGATGACGACCCGCTCACGCGAGTCCTTCGTGTCGGCCACATCAGCATACAGCCTGCGTAACGAAGTCGCAAAAGATCGAGTGGAATCAGGGAGAATGTGTTGCTTTTGGGAGCATGCTCTCTTACCAGCTATTCTGGGGAAGTGAGAACAGAGCTTGAGAGATCGTTTCATGGTTGGCAGGAATCAATGGAATTGCTGCATGAATAGACTTGACTCTGCTTCGACTACTGTACAGCTCGTCGTAAGAAGGAGCGGAAGGCTCTGCTTTTCCTGCGTCGAACATCCATCGCACCTGCCATAAGTCCGCTGTGAACATTTTCGTAGATCTGACGTCTGACCTCAGATATCGGAAGCTATATTCCTGCAGCACTTAAGATAGCTTTCGTCACTCTGCAGGGAACTGTTTTCCGGCTTCCGGCTGAGAGGCTTGTGGTCAAGCGGGCTCCTGAACCTTGGGAGCTTCCGGCCCGCGTGCCCGCCATCCACCTCCCAAGCCATGTGCTCTCTACTCTTGTTTGACTTTGCGACCTTACGCTCGGGACGAAGACTGAACGTTAACTTGCATGTTCGATCCCTATTAGACCCAATCTAAGTTACTCAGTTTTTTGAACAAATGGCCAAGGACAGCAGACTGGCTGAAGGAGCAGCCAGTAGGAGATGATGCAGTTCAGAGGCTACGAGTAGGACGCACGGGGAATGTCAGAGTTGGTATTATGTCGAAGGTGATGCATTGTTGTTCATTGGTATATGTAGATCGTTGCATATCATCAGTTCATGAACATGAGGGGTCTATGTCATCGTCCTCCGTTCCTATCCTATGTTGTCCCAACATGCCTCCAGGCCATCGAATCACCGAATTTGAACATAGATATGTACAGAGCCGTGAAGCTCATTACGTGCAAGCCAGCCAGCCGGGGCTCATCTTCAACGCCGATCGCTGAGTACGCCTGCTTAGGACAATGCCACCATGGGAGCGAGCACTGCATCCAAGCCTCGCTCCTGCTAACGCCATGCCAGAATAAGAAACTGAAACGAACGGAGTCAAGCCATTCCTCCCTTGACTTTTGGAAACCATTGCTTGATAGCGTAAAATGAATGGGTATCATGGAGAATCGAACATCATTTGTCCACCTTTTGCCACGAATTCAAGTATGCCATTATTCCGACGCCTAACAGGACCACGCCCATCATTGAAACATAAGGAGCGTAGTGCGCGGGTACTTCGCCATCGGACTGCTGTTGCTGCTGCTGAAGTATGGTTGTGACAGCTTGTTGTAGATGCTCGGGTAGTTTGGGCATCTGTACATGCCCGTTTGGCTGCCGGCGTTCCTTCTTGCTGGCAGGTGATCGATCGACGTCTACGTGTGACCTCACGATCTCCTCAATTGACTC